CGGCCGAGTGGTCCGTATGCGGTAGGCAAAAGACTCAGTCCGCGTATCAGAGGGGCGCGAAGGTGCGGGTGCATCAAGTTATGGAGGAGGGTTGCGCCACGTCGACCAGCACCGACAAGCTTCTCGATCCCGCTAGTCAACTTAGAGAATTGATCGAGACGTCGGGACACCTGATACCCGACCCCCTACTCGTTCCCAGGGACTATCTGCCGGGCCTCGCGGCCGCCCCGGCCGCCGAGATCCCCAAACTGTTGGCCTCGAGGCCCGAGCTCAGGTTGCCGGAAGCGTTGACCAGGCCGGATCTCCTCCGAGATCCGGATCTGTTGGTGATATCGTTGGCCCATCTTCAGCACGTGCTAGATCACGGCGAGGGGCCGGTGTCCAGGTCGCGGCAATCGTCGCATCCGAGGATCAACAACGGGGCGAGCAACAAAGGGGGGCCCGGTGGTCACGCGAGCAACGGGAGGAAGAACGCGCTGCAAACGAGGCCCAAGCTCAGCTGCAAACCGATCGGCACCCTGATGCCGGCGCCGATCGATCTGTCCAGCAGCCGAAGGACCAATACCTATCTACCGTTGCTCAGGGTGAGGAGCGGTTTGCTTAAACAGGAGCCGGAAGTCAGCTCCACGGCAAGTTCGCCCGACGAGTCGCAACTTTGGCATCCTTTGTTCGGCAGGTAATTTTTATTTCTTTTTATGTATCGTTTCGTTACAGAACGAGCGCAACGATAATTTCGATCGCGTTGGATTATTACGTAGCTGTATGAAAAGTATAGGTTCAAATGTTATATCGGAAATTAGGTATACGTAAATATTGTTATTTTCGAAATAAGCGATCGTGTGTTTAATAATTCGGGTGGAATAGTTAATCTTCGAATGATATATGATATTTTTTATCCAATATGGCAATTACAACCGGTTTAACATTCAATTTTTCTAACGAACAATTAACCATTACGTAAGACGATAAACAATTTCACGCGGTTGACGCAAGTGTTCATTTGCATGACGAATATAATATTAATTATATATTTGATGTACGTCAGATATCGTGCAAAAAAATATTTCGGAAAAGTTTGATCGAGAATGGACCGTAATTATCGCGTGTAATGTCATTATCTTTTTGTTCAACTTTGAATATCGTTTTTAATTTTGTCAAAGATTTTAAAATAATATTCGAAAGTGCTCGAACGCGGAACAATTAAAAAATAATTGTATTCGAACGGGCCAGAAATTTTTCGTGAAATATCGTTTTTAAAAAAAAATTAAATTCCTCTTCTTCCTTCGAGACATTTATTTGTATAGACATTATTTACTCGATGAAGATAATTATGCATGGTTATTTTATTTGACTTCTGGTACGCACGAACCAAGGTAGTAGGGAAATATCCCATGGAACATGTTGGAATGAAATACGTCTGGTCTGTATGACGTCGACTGTAATTAATGCGAAAGAGAGGTAGAGGAAAGGATAAAGGAAAGAGAGAAGTTAAAAAAAAAAAAGAAAAAAAAAGAAGAAAAGAAAAGAAAAAAAAAGAAAGAAAGAAAAAAAAGGAATCATGAAAAGCATATAAAATTGAGAGTCCACGGATTAACCTCTTACTGCATCTGCAATCTGCATCTAGATGTAGAGTCAACTTGCAGACGCGACGTTGCCAGTTAAAAGAAAAGAAGTTAGAGCCGCGTTGCTATCGATGTATGCTTTCGAACGTATTGTTTCTTCGCGAGTGAACTTTTTTAGAAGGACGAAGAAAACTTTTTTACTCGCTAAGATTGCACTTTTTCGAAATTCCATTTCGTCCTTAAAAAAAAAAAAAAAACTTTAGAAATAAATTTATTCAAATTCTAATTTTAGATAGGACACGGTTAAAGAGATATAAACACAATTAGATTCGATCGCATAGAAGGTTGACACGAACGAATGGAGAATTTAATAAACATTATTAAATTATACCTATTTAAATTTACCGATCACGCACGAGACATTAGTATTCATAGTCGTTCAACCAGTGGCTAGCTTTAAACGCCTCTATTTAATAATCGATTCATCGAATAACTCGTATTATGGAACTTCTAATGTCTATATCGATCGATCGAGAGAGAGAGAGAAAGAGAGAGAGTGTACCGTGTCAAATCAATAATTAACCATCAACATCTCGCGCATCAAGAGTATTATTCAATCAAAGAGTGATCTTAATGAACCAGAAGAATTCTTTGTATTGTCATCACTGTCGTCCTGTCATCGCGGGACAAGACGATTAATTAATCGAATAATTATCGAATACTTTCACTTACGATCGATCATCACCGACAAAGAGCACCAACTGCAACAATCGAAGTAACGTGGCCGAGCATCTTACCCTTTCCACTTTCACCGTTACAATTGGCCAAACGATTTGATGCCCGATTTTCTCCACCTTCTTCCAAGGACGGTGAAATTTCAATTTATCTAACGCGGTCAGATGTCGAACATGGTACACGAACAATTAAATTTTCTCTATACGTATCGACACGGTAGACGACGGTGGCGTGTACGGCGTGTACTTTATGCATACAGTATGGACGGAAAGGAGACCAGAGGATACTATTTTGCGACTTCACAATGATGGCCACGACGACGGAGGTAGAGGTACACACTGATAGAACGGCACAAGCTCGGTGATAGCGTGATCATTTGCATTTTAATACCGAACCGACGATAGAGACTCTGTATCTGTCGCAGGCTCCACCTCCGGTCTGTCAGTCTGGTTATAACGAGCCGATCGACGACGCATACATGACCACTGTTAAATATTTAAACGGGTAAACTTGAACGTTGGTAAAACTGTTGACCACTGTTACCTCCTACATGGAGAGAGATGATCGACGCACGTCTTCTCCCGCCATCTTGATTTATTTCGATAGCTCGTCCTAAACCTGAACACCTACCTATGTGATTATCGATAATCGATGTTTACGTAAATGAAACGCGCATGCGTCAAGTCGCGATCGAGACAACTTCATCCAAGTTTCGGTACTGTTCGAAAAGAATTTTCACGGAACACGATTTTTACGAGTTCTTTTTTTTTTTTTTTTTTTTTTTCGTAAAGAGGACAAATTCAAAGTTTATCCGTTTATCGCCAAACTTTTCTTTGTAAACCGATTATTTTTTTTTTTTTTTTTTTTTTTTTTTTTCTTAAAAAGGGCAAATAAAAAATTTTTCCGTTTTTCCCCAAACTTTTTTTTTTAAACCCATTTTTTTTTTTTTTTTTTTTTTTTTTTTTTGCTAGTTGCATATTTATCTTATTTCGACGGAAAAGGGGAAAAATAAGCGACGATTTAAAACTAGATCAACCGGTATTTATTCTATCTTTATTTATGGCGCGTAAAACGAAATTTATAGGAATATAAAACCACAAATGGTGTCGATAACGAAAAATAACTAAAAGAGATCCTAGAATATCGGCATCTGGGAGGGGGGAAAGGATAGTTTTCTGCGCATTTTTTTTTCTTCTTTTTTGTAATAGAAGTTTGTAACAGAATTTGCCACGATTCAGATCGATGGAATCGGCCGTAATGTAATTGGTGAAGGGAAGTGATTCGACGATCACCGTGGATTAAAACGGCTCGTTTCCAAGACGAGGAGCCCGAATTCCTCCTACTTTCTACCGCTTAATCTTCGCGAGAATATCGAGACCGGAGCACTCGGATCGAGCACTCGGCCTACCGTAATTTATTCGTTGTTGAACGTCTGCCATATGAAATTTCACGGATCACGGATTTAGAATACAATCCTGGAATAGAATAATCGTGGGAGGTGGTCGAATCGAGAAATAAACAAGGGGGGGGGAGGGAGAGAAAGAAAAGAAGAGAATCGAGAAAAAATTTCTTCTTCTTCTTTTTCCTTCCTTCGTCGAAGGAGAAAGAAACGTTTCTCCTCGACCTCGGATAGCAAAATTTTCTCACGAGGTGGTCGAATTCCTCCCGATGGCACGATCTTGTAACGCGTCTCTTCTAATTGGTGATCGAGACTTCTCTAATTAGGACTGTGTGTGCTCCTACGGATCGGCAATTGGCAAGGCGCGAAAGTGGGTCGTGGTGGCTCCCCGCGTTTTGCCCTACGTTCCTCGCCTCGCTACATTTTCCGAGCAGAAACTGTTGCGCAACCGGACACCGCTCGCAAATTCATACCGTTCGGTCCTTGCTCGAAGGATCGAGATAAAGATTATCTGTCGCTGTTCGTCGTTTCTCGAAACGGAACGAATATTTATCGCGAATATTATACAAAATCCTCCGTCGTTTCATTTTTTCGAGGTTTATTAATATTTACAATTTCACTTCGATATTATCGTCGGAGAAGAGTAGAATTTCTGTCGGTCGTAAACTTTCTTCCTCTCCTCGATGTGTAAAGAAATGGAACAGGGAACGCTGATCGCACTGGGCACCTCGAAAGCAATCTCGAAACCACGCCACGTTGATGAAAGGTTAATGAAAATAATTTTCATTAGTTTCCGACTTTTTACTTCGTTTCTATAGGAAAGTCATTATATCTCTCGATCCTTCCCATTGTCTCCATTGCCTCTCTTATTATAACGTAGTCAGTTGGAATTACCTTCGTTGCCGGGATATAATGATAGGAGTCACGGTAGGAGGCAGAAACTTTTACTACGTCGCGAGGTCCAGAAACACGAAAAAAAAAAAAAAAGAAAAAAAACGGAAACTCTAAGAAACTCGCAATCTTCCTTAAATACAAGTAACAATCAAATAGATGCTCGATAACAACATATCTAATCTATCAAACAATGAACAATTTAAAATAATTCGTCATTCTAACCTATTTCTGCAAATCGTATATAATTATTTCCAAAATCTTGTCGAATTGATATTTCGAGGCGTTCTTTTGCTTCCAAACGGTTGGAATCGAAGCTCGAACACGAACACGAACACGACACGAACACGAACACGAACACGAACGTGATCGAAACGTAACACGCGTCACGAGGCTCGCGTTGAATCGAATGTAAATTTTGCGTTGAACGGTTAGGTTAGGTGAAGGAGAGGCAAATGGATATTTTATTGTAACACGAGGTGGCGGCACAGGGAGGAGAGAAAAGGAGGGACAGTTTTTTCGAACGCCCTTTCGCTCTGGCGGAGCACTTGTGTAAATAGCATTAGGATGCTACTCTCCGCGTTCGGCGGACGGCTTTAATGAGAGGGAGAGGGGTATTAAAGGAGGGTTCTCATGTGACGACACGAACGTTCATCGATCGTACGAACGGCGAATTCGAAAGCCGCAGGCCAACTAGCGGAGAGAGCGGGGCGGGGGGAGGGGAGAGAATGGAAGGAAATTGAAACGAAAGCTCGTTTTAACGTTTTTTTTTCTTTCTTTTCTCGAAAACTGATGGCAAGGTTCGAATATGTAGAACAGATTCGTCCTTTAACCTTCATTCTCCATCGTTCCAAACCACGTCCGATACACTTTTTTCTTTTCCCCTCCCGGCCGAGATATCGAGTGGCAAATTACGAACGCCTTCCGATCTCATTTCCATCGCGATTCTCCGTTGATTTCCCTCCTACATTATTTATTTCCTTCACATCTTTCTTTTAAATTAATTTCGTTTTCGTAACGTTTCTTTTTTGCTTTTTGTTGGAACGAAAGGAGAGTTGAGAATAATAAATAAATTTTACATTAAGTTAA